GCTCCTTAATATATAAATTATGAGATAATTATAATAATTTTAAATTTGTATTTAAAACTTATAAATTATGGGATAGATTAATATAATTTTAAATTTAAATTAATAGATTGCTTTTCATAGTAACAATTTAAATTTTAATAAAATAAAATTTAAAAGTTTTAATTAATTAATTTTTGTGTAAGCTGGTTGGTCTTTTGACTTAACTGATTAAGGGTTGGTTTGGGAAGTGGTTTGGTTTTTTAACTTTTTGATTATTTTTGCCTGAGGCTAAAAAGCCTTGTTTGGGAATGACTTTTTGACTTTTTTGACTTTTTGTGAGATAAAAAATATAATGATTATGGGTTGGATGTGATGTTTTGTCTTATTAGGCTAAAAAGCCTATTTTATTTTTTTGTGACTAAAATAGGCTAAAAACCCATCTTCCCAAACAGAGGCTAAGGTAAACCATTTTTTGTTTGAATAACTTGTTGGTTTAACTGTAAGTTTAGCGGTTACAATGATTCTTTCTTACTCATTAAGTTTTTAAAATGTATTTAATTATTTTTCTTTCAAAAACCAATATGACAATTTTTTAAAATTCATATATTTTTATTCTAAAATATTGAAACATGACAATTTTTTAAAATTCATATAAAATGTATTTAATTATCTTTCTTACTCATTAAGTTTTTAAAACTAATATTAGAATTATGTCATTTTTTTTATAACAAAGCATAATTTTAATTATTAATTGTCAATACAACAATTTTAATATATCTATATTATATGTTATAGTAAAGAAACATTTGAAACAAAACTCTTAAACTTATATGTAAAATTTTATTTACGAAAGAAAAAATATAAAAAAATTAAATATAATTATCACATTTTTAATAAATAATATATTATTTTATTCCATGCTAGTACCCCTTTAATTGGTAAGAACATCTCTCTAAAAGGTTTAATTTAATGTTTTATATTTTTAGAGTTTGAAATGGTGATTTCTAGATTTATGGCCTGGTTTGGCATCTACTATATAATCCATCTTTTTATCTTTTTTCCATCACATCACCTCTCTACTTTTCTGTATATCTTTTCCTAAAAAGACAAAAAGTGCACTTTTTTAGGACACCCCAAACCAACCCTAGTCTTAGTTATGGAGTTTCATACTTGTATTTAGGTCTCATTTTTTTAATAGTTTTTCAATTTTTAATTAAAATATAAAATAAAAAAAAAGGTTAGTATGATTGGGAATAATCTTTTAATTATTTTTATTTTATAAAAACGTGAAATAAAACAATTTATAAAATCAAAAAATAGGTAAATTGAAGGTCAATCGATTGGAGGTGAATGGATGGACGCGGCAGACAGTGAAATGGGATGCATCAAGTGGGTCTTCGCAAAATGGGGTTGTTGAGAAATCATAAAGATTGGACTTTACCATTTTTTTATTTTCAAAAAATTCTCTTCAGTTATGTGTTACAATTTTAGTCAGGTTGTAATTTTTGGAATGTAATAATTTTATTTAATTTTTTTTTAATTTATAACTATTTTTTTTTTCAAAATTTCATTCAAAATAAATATTTCAAAACTCCATTCCAAAACTCTTTTTAAAACTCATAACCAAACTCTCTACAATACTCTGTTTTCTCAACAAAAAAAAAAAAAAAAAGTTAAAAAAACTCTCTATTTTTAATTTTGTTCTTTCAAATTATATTTTTTCTACTTTTGTGGAATCTTGTTTTTAGCAAGAAATATTTTTTTGGTCTACTATTTATGAAGAAAAATCGTTTTTATTTAATTTTATTCAAAAAAAAAATTCATATTTTTGGCCAAAATTTGTTATGATTTTTGTATTGGCCAAAAAAATATGTACCCAACTCTTGAATAAAATTGAGAAAATTTGTAAATATTTAAAAAAAATTATTGGAAAATATAATTTAAATTTTTTTTTTAAAACTCTTGAGGAAACCTATAACCAAACAAGTTTTCTCCTAAAAAATCATTTGAAAATTTATTTTTTAAAATATAACTCTACACTCAAAATTTCAATTCAAAAACCAAACGGAGTCCAAAAAAAAAAAAACAGTAATTTGTTCACTTCAATTATTATTTTTGTATTCCTCTCTATTACTTTTGACATAAAAAAAATAAAAATAAAAATAAATAAAAAAGGAGTTTCTCTATTGGTGTTGCGTTGCCTTGGTTAAATGGAGTCTATCCCTCTCTTTATTCATCTTGTTTGATGTGACAAGTTTACTGAAGTGCTGCAGTTGAACTCTACTTAAATCAATCCATCAATTTCAGATTTTTGACATAATTGAGGGGTTAAAAAGTCATTTTACCTAACTTATTGCAGACATCACGTGATTTGAATTTTATGGATAGGATTATAGGATAAAATAGTAGATTTTTTAATTTTTTTAATAATTTTTTAATTTTTAAGTTCAAAAATTGTGTTGTCAGATGAGATCTTTGGAGTTATTTGGGATAATCTAAATAAGTATACTGTTTGACTTTTTATGAAAAAATGTACAGAAAAATATGGAGGTGATATGACATAAATAAGTGCACTTATTTAGTTTATGCCAAACAAATCCTTAGAGCACATTTGGTATGATGGAATTGGGGATGGCAATTTAAACCCGGCCCGATGGAACCTGACCCTCCGACCCCAATTTGAATGGTTTTTTCCTGAAAAATATCCTCAACGAGACGGAGATGGTATTCAAAAATTAATCCCCAATCAGTTTTGCGTCGGGGTCGGGGATAAGTGTCCCAACCCTAGGCCGTCACGTCCCTGGGCCGTCCCGTCCCCGTCCCCGTCCCCGTCCCCATTTGTCCTCGAAGTGAAATTACTATAGTACCCCCTATATATATATATATGTAAATGAACCCTCACACTCAAGTCTCTCTCAGTCAGCGCTCTCTCTCTCTCTCTCTCTCTCTCTCTCTCTCTCTCTCTCTCTCTCTTCATGCCCTTTATCTTTGTTCTCGCCGTCGTCGACCACCACTCCCGTATTCGACCACCACTTTCCTTTGTAGCCACAACATCCTCTTCTCCTCCACGACCTCATCTCTGCTTCGAACACGCTCAGCCGCCGGAGCTCAACCGCAAGATCCAGATCCACCACCACCACTACCACTGGCCGTGAGATCTGATCTGTTCCGTGTGTGCAAGATCCAGATCCACCATCACCACCTTCCTACCTCATCTCTCTCTCTCTCTCTCTCTCTCTCTGATATGATCCGTGTGTGCAAGTACATAACAATTTCAGATCTTTTTTTTTTGGTTTTTAAGTTGATTGTTGTTGATGATGATGATGATGAAAAAAAAAATAGATGTTGTTTCTTGAACTGATCTGATCTGATTGTTGGTTCGACAGATAAAAACAATAGATGTTGTTGTTGTTGTTTATCTGATCATTAAACTTGATCTGTTTTTTTAATCTGTTCTACATATTTGTTGTTGTACATATTTGATCTGTTGTTAAATATAGATGATGTTGTTGTTATTGTTGTTGTTGTTGTTTTTTTTTTTTTTTAATTTTGGCCGGGGAATTTTTGGGGTCGGGAAACCCGATCCTCGTTAAGGGGCGAGGGCGGTGATAGGCTTCCCGTCGGGGATCGGGGCTGGGGACGGGGACGGAGAAATTTCTACCATCGGGGATCGAGGACGGGGAGTGTGATCCCCGGCCTCGCCCCGGCTAGGGATGGCAATCTGAAACCAGCCCGACGGTGACCTGACCCCCCGACCCCGAATTCAGCAGTTATTCACCGAAAAATATCCCCTACAGGCCGGGGATGGTATTCAAAAATCCATCCCCAATGATATCCGGGCTGGGGACGGGGATATGTGTTTCAGAACCGGACGCGGTCCGGCCCCGGCCTCGCCCCGCATGGTCCCCGAGGTAAAATGACCCTTTTGTCCCTGGATATATATATATGCATATGCTTGTCTTTGTTAGGGTTTCACAGACACACACACTCAAAGCCTCTCACACTCACGCCGCTCCTCTCTCTCTCTCTCTCGCCACTGGTTTGTCCCTCTCTCTTCCCTCCGTCACCGCCGCGCCTCCCTCCGTCACCGGCGATCCTCCCTCCGTCACCGGCAATCCTCCCTCCGTCACCACTGCGCTTCCCATCTCTGTTTACGTATATCTCTCTCTCTCTCTCTCTCTCTCTCTGTTGGATTTGTGTTTTTTTTTAATCTATTTTATAGATCTGTTTTTTTTAAAAATTTATTTTATAGATCTGTCCCTGGATATATATAGATCTGTTTTTTTTTTAATCTATTTTATATTGAACCTTCTTCAGCTGGATTAGGAGTCTTTGAATTTGTTTTTTTTGTCTTTGAATCTATTTTATATTTTTTACAATATAGATCTGGTTTCCCAGATTTTGATATATTTTATATTGTTAATCAGTTGGATTAGGAGTCTCTCTAATCTTCTGAATGCTTTGAATTTTGATCTTGATCAAGATATGGAACAAAGATTGGTTAGCTAATCTGTAGATTTACATTTATGGAGCTTATTTTGGAAATTATTTGGTATTAAGTGTTGTTTTTGGTATTAAGATTGGAGTAGAGCAGTCTCTATATAGGCTTAAGTGTTGTTTTTGGCTATTTTGTATAGTTTGATAGGGAAGAAGGTTATACTTATTTTTTGAAGAAAAAAAAAAGAGAATAGGTGTTCGCAATATTGTTAAATGATGATGTTTTACCTGAATGTTTAAAATTTTATTAAGAACATGCATTGGTCATCTATATAAACTAAGAAAGGTGCAGTATTTATTTGGCTTTGTTGATTCATATATGAGTTTTGTGCTATCATATATGAATCGATCAATTTCTTTCTTCTCGTATCAGGAAAATAGGTTCATTTCATATCCATGTGTCTGCAGGAGTCTCTATGACAGTCATAATGAAATGCAAGAGAATAAAATAAAATGCATCACACACTATTTTGAGAGGATATGCTCTTGTATGCCTGTGGGTGTTGTCTCCTTTGAGCGTAAAATACTTCCTTTGGAAAATAACTTTCCTTGTGTTTCTTATCCAAAGGCTGATTTTTGGAGCACATCTTCTATTCCTCTCTGTCGTTTCAAGGTAACAAAGGAACATATATACTTGTTTAATTTGTGTGTACATTTTTGTTGGTTTAGTAACCCAACTTTCAATGGTTTACTGCAAGGATATGATGTTTTTCATCTTTGTTGTTGTTGTAGGTTTACAGGTCTGGCTTGATATAAGATCAATCTTGTGAAGCTCTTGAAGTGGATTTTGCTAACAAGTATCTTGGAGGTGGTGCTCTTCACAGGGGTTGTGTACAAGTTTGCTTTCATGGAAAAGATGGACCCTTATTCTGATTATCAAATTATTTGGTCAATTAGAATTGTTCTTGACTTGTACTACTAGCCTTGTTTTATTCTCCTGCACATGTTCATGAAACCAGATTTAATTCAATTTCACTTATCCATGAAATAGCACTGATTGATTGCAGAGTTTAAGAAAAATTTATCTAATTCAAATCTTAGTCTCCAGAAATGTAAATTATTTGGTATTTTGATTCTATTGCTTCCTTGCATGTGGAGCTTATTCATGTTAATCTTAGTCTCCATAGATTGTTATGAAGAATGGGAAAGTTTCTACAAAATTGGCTATGTTTCAGTAAAGTAAAGCTAGTTTTACACTATGTTTGGCAAGCTAGAATAGAAAAGAAAAGAAATAATTTGTCAAGTTAAGAGAGAGAAGAAAATAAGAGAAAAGATTGTGTTTTTTTTTTTTTAACTACATAAAAAAAAATTTAAGAAAAAGGCCCTCTTACAGCCAATATTACTAAATAAACTTTGATGTTTTTATGCATCACAACACTTCTTAGTTGTCATCTTTTTTGTTGTAATTAACATTTTTTACATTTTATTAAAATATTAAAAAAAACATTTTAAAATTCATCTACCCCATTGGTGTTCTACAAAATCAACCATAATTTTTTTTTTAAATATAAACAAAAATAATTATGTTGTAAAATATTAAAATATTTTAGTAAAACAAAATTATTAAAAAAAGAAAAACCAGTTTGGTTAACAGTGTTTTTCATTTAACTGTTATTTAAAAAAAAAAACAGTTTGGTTATAATTGTTAATTTTTTTTGTTAATAATTATTTTTTTCAATTAAATTTTAAGAACAATTTGGCTAACAGTATTTTATTTATTAATAACTATTTTTTGAATTGAAATTTGAAAAGAGTTGGTTATGAAGAAAAAAACGAAAATAAAATAAAAACAAACTAAAATAAATAGATAGGTGCATCATTTAAAAATAAAAATAGACATCTATCGATTATACGAAAGAAAAATACAAAAACAAAATACAACGACAAATGGTGCTTACATCTATGAACCAAAAAATTAAGAAAGAAAGAAAAGGAAACAAACAAATAAGAACAGCAAGTACGAGTACATCTGCAACACAACTAAAAACCATAGCATGCGTCAACCATTTAATCGCTCATCGAAACAAATTAAGCGTCATTGTCAGGTGGTAGTGGAGGTGGAAGGAAGTAGTGATGCTTGGGATTAATTATTCTCTTTGCTACTTGTTGAATTTTCTTGTGTGCTGCTGGACACATGTTTTGGTTGTGTTATTTTGTTGCTACAGGATGCTTTGTGTGTGGGTTGTGTATGTATGGGCTGCTGAATTAATGTTTATTAATGTTTTTCTACAAGATGTTTATTGATATTTATTGATTTAAATGGATGTTGCTACAGATTTATGGACGTTGCTACAGATTTATTGATGATAGCTTCATTTATGGATGTTGCTACAGATGATGTTTTTTAAATGGATGTTTATTGATATTTATTGATCTAATTAATTAAAAAAATCATATTCCAACTGATGGATGTTGCTATAGATTTATGGATGTTGCTACAGTTCTAATTAATTAAAAAAATGAAGCTATTAGGGTTGATATTCCAACTGATAAATTCCAAAATTTATACATCCAGTAGTGAAGGGTGGTTGAGAATGTTTATTGATGTTTATAGATTTTACATAAAAAAAAAAAAAAAAAATCGGGGATCATCTGGGGTCGGGGATCCCCGATCGGGGGCGGGGATGGGGCCGGGATAGGGGTCCCCGTCGGGGATCTGGGACGGGGACGGGGGGGAGTATTACTTTCGGGGATCGGGGACGGGGGGTAGTCCCTGGCCCCGCCACGCCCCGTTGCCATTCCTAGATGGAATGGGGTGCAATGGAATGCCCATTACAACTTTGCAATTGTTTGGGATGTTCTAAATAAGTGTACTTTTTGACTTCTTATAAAAAAATGTGTAGAAAAGTAGAAAGAAACTGTTGATTGATGTGACCCAACAAAAATTAAAACTTAAACTTATTTAAGGGATGTCATAAACTTATTTAAGGGATGTCAGTAAGCCTTAATTATTCCATTATAATGACTATTCCAACCAAATGTGAAAATGCCTATTCATTCTTTCAACTTAAGAAATGACCATTCCATTCTGTCATGAAATTAATAAAAAAAAATTATAATCAGCTTGTTTGGTTCCAGTTTTCAGAAACTTCTACTTTTTTATTTTTCGTATTTTAATATTTTCAATGAATTTTTTTTATATTTTAAGCATTTTTTAAAAATTTTTAGACACACCTAACATAAATACACTTAAAAAATATAATATTTGTGAAAAAAAATCTTTAAAAAATACACTAAATACCAAAAAATATGAAAAAAATACGAAAATTCAATACATTTTCATATTTTTGTGTATTTATTAATTTTTTAAAATATTTTACTATTTTATATACATCTAAGTAAGGTGCATTAGGGGTGAGCATGGCCCGGATTAGACAGGATTGGGATAAAACTAGGACCAATCCGTTATCTACGGTTCCTAAAAAATTGGAACCAATCCAATCCATTTAAATCATGGAACCAATCCGAACCAATCCATTTAAATACGGATTGAATCGGTTTAGGACCACGGATTCAGATAATTAAATAACAAAAATATATTTATTAATTTTATAAAAATATAAACATAGCGCTATATTAGTTCCACAATAGCAACATATTTTTCTATAATAATGACATACTGTTCTAAAATTTAAACAACCATAAGAAAATTGGTTTCACTATAAGTATTTAAACCATTACAAATTAAAACTAAAAACCAACAAACAAGAGTAATAAAAGAAGATATTATACAGTTTTAAGTTTGAGTTTACATTTTATATAGAATTAAGAGAAGATACTATGTGGGAGGATGTATAATAAAAATATAGACTATTTGTATACGGTTCGGATCGGTTCCAATCCGGAACCGTGGTGTTCAATCCAGAACCAATCCGTAGACTACGGATTTTTAATTCTTCAATCCAAACCAAACCGCGGATTCAAAAATCCAATCCAAACCTATCGGATTGGACTGGACTGGATTGGATTACGGATTTCACGGATCACTTGCTCAGCCCTAAGGTGCATCTAAAAAAGTAAAAAAATTACTTAAAATTTTAAAAATATTCACTAAAAACAAAAAAACACGAAAAAATAAAAAACTCGATTTTCATAAAATTGAATTTAGAAAAATGAAACTAAACACACTGATTATTATTTTTTTGTTATTGACACTTAAAAAATATATTATTATTTAGCTCCTACCACTGCCACTATCATTGCTACCCTATTGCCATTACAACACCATTACCACCATCCCCACCGTCACCACCTCAACCACCACACCACTATACGACCACTGCTTCCACTACTACTACTACTACTGCATCTGCCGCCATTACTACTACCTTACCACTACTACTACCACCTTCATAAACATCACACCACCACCATCACCATCAGAGAACCACCACTCTACTATCATAGGCTGTCGTTACTGCCACCACCATCGCAGCCATAATACCACCACCACTAAGACCACAACAACCTACTACCACCATTATACTATCATTGCTATCACCACCACCACTATTACGACTCACACCATCGCTTCCACAACTATCAACATTATCATGATTTATACAAATTTTTAATTTATTTGTTACTAGCTTGTTAAAATAAATAAATAAATAATAAAAACTTATTCCATTCCATGAGATAATAGGCATAACCAAATATAAGAATGAGAATTATTACCATATTTCTATATCATTCCATGTTGGCAACCAAACAATGGAATGAGAATGGACATTCCATTCCATTTAACCTTGTAATTCATTCTCACTCTTATTTCATTCCTGAAAAATCTAAAAACCTCCTAGATGTTGATTTGTGATTATGTATCAATTTTAAGCAGAATATAACAGTCCCAATCAAACAATCAAGACACAGAGATACAACGATTTTACGTGGAAAAACCACAATTGGACACCTCCAACTGTGATAAAAAAATCACGGGCATCAGCCACAAAACAATCAACTAAGAAGATTTAAAGGAATTGCACAGGTATACTCTCAATTACCTAGCGAATCCACACCTAATTGAACCAACCTCTATGTGTCTCTTCCAACCTGTCTTCACATCGGAATTATCTTTACGATGAGCCACCCCGGAATCCACCAAAGCTTCAGGCTCGAATTCTTCAGAATCCACCGAAGAACAACTCTCTCGTTTGTAGAACAAACAAAACCTTTGATGTACTCTCTTTAAACCATGAGTTGAATACTCAATCAAAAGATCAAAAAAAACTAGCAAAATATCCCCAGATATAAACCTTAGAACCCAAGAAGAAGATCTGGAGTAGTAATCCTAAAATCTGACCAACACACGAATTTATAGAATCTGTCCTGCGATCTCTGCTCGAGCGCCCAACAGCCCGCTCGAGCGGCTTCAGCAAAATATGCGCGTGATATAATAGAGGTACGCTCGAGCGCTAGAGAACCCGCTCGAGTGCGAAATCACACATCTCAGTACTTTTACAGGCGACCAAAACTGCTGGAACCAAGGATTCTCCGCTTGAGCGGGGTAATGTCCGCTCGAGCGGATAGGCAACTTGGAATGCATTAGCATCACAAACTTCTCTGAAAGGCACAATTCGAGTTGGATTCGCATCTAAACACTCATAGCCTCACTGAAATAAAAGTGTGAAAGTAGATACAACGGAAAGAAGTTTTGTTAAACAGGGTTGCCAAGAATAAAACCTATCAATCTCCCCCTTTGGCAATGCCGTGACAAAACACACCTAACAAATAAAATCCTAATCACCCCAACCCATTACAGCCAACAAAAGCCAACTTCTTTCTCAAGGGCATGATCTGCAAAACAGTTATTAGTGCCATAATCTCCAAAACAACTATTAGTCCCACAAGAGTATATAAAAAAACAATAGACATAGGACACGATTATCTTGAAACACGAGATGGAAAACATGAATAGATGAAAACTAAGACTCATGAACAACAACTCTCAAATAACAAAAGCAAGATCATAAACCAACCCAAGCAATGATATGACGATGTAAATAGCAGGAACATGCAAGAAGGAAATAATTAGCAAACATAGAAACATGCAAAACAACTATAGCCAATCTCCCTTACCAATCAAATCAAAGTGTTCATGCTAACAAACTCTTGCAATGATAAACCAAACTCCCTTACCAACCCAAATCAAGATGAACCAAACTCCCCCTCACTAAAAGCAACCACAAACACTGAAAACAGTGAACAAGAAGAAAAGGATAAAAAAAATATAGTGGAGCAAGCAAGAAATCTCAGATTTGTACCTTAAAACACACAAGATTATCCAAGAAGCACAATTACTAGTAAACACAATGTGCACAGTCTGTAGAAGATTCCTCATGAAAGAAGGTGATGCATTATGTGAAAAGTATAGATCCCATGAGAA